GCTTGCGATGGTTGGGATGAGGTGCCCAAGACACACATCAAGAAGTATTGGAGACACGCGAAAATATTCGTGAACAGATCGTAGACTTAGTGAGCCCAAGTGCATGAGCGTACTTAATAAATCGCTTTTTTTATTCATTACTAAAACGCAGTACATTTACAACTCCGCTAGATTTGATTTACCTTTTGTATGGTGTTATATTCAGTACCTCAACCATTGGACCCTTTCTTATTGCCGTTACTCCCTGTACATATATTCTACGATTGTATTGGACTTGACACGTCCAATCGTGTTTAGATGACTCACCTAACCGTATTCTACCAGATTGGTTAAATTAACATTTGTCCTACCGGGACTCCCTATATTTCTGATTGCTATTCTATTCGTAATATTCTCCATACATACACGCGTACTTCGAGTACGGCTTGATAAAATAACACATTCATCCATTAAAGCACTTTATTGGAAGAAAGAGGAGCAATTCCCGAAGGCCTTTAGAATCCTAGACTGGTGTCCTTTTTCTATGATTCCAAAACCTTTGACTTGAAGTTTGGAAGGGGGTCCCGAGCCCCTTCCAAATTTATTCTTTTATAGATAGGACAACTTTTATAGATAGGACAAATTAAACTTGCTGCGGGAATCGCTCCAGTATCAATGCAATCGCTATTTTTTTCATCTACGGTATTGCATCATGCAATTTCTGGTCGTGCACGAATTTGGTGGTCCAACACCTTTGTGCGTAGGACTCTATCGGATAGTGTTCCAATGATTGCGTAAAGAAACCATTACGTGATCAACTTGCAGCTTCAACTGCCTACACTGGCACCACCGACTGGATTTGCACCCACCTGTGAGTCACAGGTGGGTGCGAATTGTGATCTTCATCGCTAAGGAGGTATTTGTCATTTCTCGATTAGTGTCGCGGCCGCAGCTTCAAGAGTCAAGTCGACTGATTTTGGTCAGGCATGGCACGCTTCGTTCGCTGGCTAATTTTGGCAAGTGTTGCAGCTCTAACACTGTCCGACGTGGCATTGGGCCACTCGCAAATGCATTTGGGTAATGCGTTGCCTTCGCGCAAATTGTTCATTGAAAATGGTCGGCATCTGTTGAAGAATTGCATCAACTCTGAAGCTGGTCAAGTGCTGAAAGAGAGGGCTATAACTCGCCATCTAGCCATATTAAACGATGTCCACGCTGCTCGTCGTCTTGATGCCGCTACGGCTTTGTCAACTGACCATGAATCCAATCGCACTGGGCTCACATTCAACACGAGTTCGAATGAACTTTTCACGGGTGAACCGGCATGCCTGCTGGAACCCGAAGTCACTGAGGGCCCATACTACGTCGCTGGAGAGCTCATCCGTTCGGATATTCGCGAGAACCAACCGGGCATCGATCTGTACATGGACTTACAGTTCATCGACGTCAACACCTGCTCACCCGTGAACGACTTGTACGTTGATTTCTGGCATGCCAATGCCAGTGGCGTATACTCCGGGGTCGTTGCAAGGACGAACGGGAACTCGAACGATGCCTCGAACATCGGTACTACCTTTCATCGCGGTATATCGCCTACTGACTCCGATGGATTTGTCTCCTTCACTACCAAGTTCCCTGGACTGTACGCAGGTCGTACTACGCACATCCATATC